TAGTCTTCTTCCTCATGACATGTGTTCTCTTAGTCTTCTTCCACATGACATGTGTTCTCTTAGTCTTCTTCCTCATGACATGTGTTCTCTTAGTCTTCTTCCACATGACATGTGTTCTCTTAGTCTTCTTCCACATGACATGTGTTCTCTTATTCTTCTTCCACATGACATGTGTTCTCTTAGTCTTCTTCCACATGACATGTGTTCTCTTAGTCTTCTTCCACATGACATGTGTACTCTTAGTCTTCTTCCACATGACATGTGTTCTCTTAGTCTTCTTCCACATGACATGTGTACTCTTAGTCTTCTTCCACATGACATGTGTTCTCTTAGTCTTCTTCCACATGACATGTGTACTCTTAGTCTTCTTCCACATGACATGTGTTCTCTTAGTCTTCTTCCACATGACATGTGTACTCTTAGTCTTCTTCCACATGACATGTGTTCTCTTAGTCTTCTTACACATGACATGTGTACTCTTAGTCTTCTTCCACATGACATGTGTTCTCTTAGTCTTCTTCCACATGACATGTGTTCTCTTAGTCTTCTTCCACATGACATGTGTTCTCTTAGTCTTCTTCCACATGACATGTGTTCTCTTAGTCTTCTTACACTTCCATGAGGTCTTTTTTTATTTTTTTTATTTTTTTACACAGGGTTTGACAAGATTAAGTTAAGGATCCCTAACTTTATTAACAAGTTAAGGATTCGTAACTTTATTGACAAGCTAAGAGCTGTTACCTACATCAGCTCACCTGAAAGTGTTTTCATTGTTATGAAACATACAAGTATGGAACAGGATGAAGTTGGAGCCATCTGTGGACCAACATTTTCATTTGATCAACTGACTTTATCTCGTTAATATCTTTGTGCTTTTCTTTGGACTGAATCTGAGTGGCCACTTTTTCTGATATTTGTGTTGCTGGTCTAAGCCGTTGCCAGGAAACACCTCACTTGTTTACAATTCTTCTTTGATTTACATCATTTGCAATGTTTTCTCTTTTTATCCCTTCCATGCGCAGAATAAATATTATACGCACAAGAATGATATCAGTGTGTGTTGCTGTGCAATGGGTAATAACTAATATTCTGTACACCCCGTGAGGCTTGGTCATAGACTTGGCAGCGGGTGCGCTGACCCCCGGAGCACCCTCCAGGTATACCATTAACAGTGAATTTGTAATTAGCATAGATCTCAGGTGTGTAAGAAGCTGAGTGAATAAACAGTAAGAAATAATTAAACTGTTAAAGTATAAATACCATCTATGATTGTATCCTGTGAAAAAAGACACTTACGTACAGTTCAGAACATTTATTAGAGAGGAAGCGTTTCGCCACGAGTGACTTCTTCAGGACTAAAGAAGTCACTCGTGGCGAAACGTTTCCTCTTATAAATGTCATGAACTGTGTCTCTTTCCACAACTTGTCGGTATTACCAGACTATTTTTCAAAATTGTATGTTGTTGTTAACACGTCAGCCGTCTCCCACCCAGGCAGAGAGAAGGGGTTACTAACCCTTTGGTCCTGGCATTTTAGTCGCTTCTTATGAGAAAGAAACACTTTTACCATCATTCGCATTATCACTGTGTTGCCAGAGACTGGAAGATACGACAGTGCAGATGTGACTCTGAACAGCAAATATCCCAAACCATTATACTTCCCACCTCCAGGACTCAAGTCCAGCTAACCTGCTTCCCTGAATCCCTTTACAAAATATTATCCTGCTCACACTCCAACAGTTCGTCAAGTTCCAAAAACCATTTGTTTTCACTCCTATCTAACACGATCATACTGTTTGTAGTATGTCCAAGCCCCTTGTACACATAACCTCCTTTACCTCCCCCCCTCCCTCCATCCTTTCATACAAACGTTTCCCCTCAGCCCTTTCTAGTTCAGTCTCTTGCTGCCCTTTACCCTTTCACCATCCACTACCCCGCTGTTATCCGTAACCTATTACTCATCCATCTCCCTTTTGCCACCAGATGACCTCGCTTCCTTCCTGCCCTGCAACGCTGTATAGTCCTTGTGGCTTAGCGCTTCTTTTTTATTATAATAATAATAATCATACAAACGTTTTTATAATTATTTTGTTAAGATAGGTGAAACTCCTCAAAGAACTCTCCGCGCGTGTGTCGTAGGTACACTTACATCACCCTGGTGGACATCTGGGTAACATAAATCTGTGTCAGTGTAACTGGTGATTTCTATGAGTACTCTTATGCATGAATTTCCCATGATGTTCACTTTGGAAAATCTTGTCTGGCTACAAGACTACAAGTTGAGATAAGCTGTCTGTGAAATCAGTCTATAAAGTTAAGAATAAATTTAAAAATCGCTTATTATTCTTCTAGAATAGTTTGAATTTGAGTAATATATTTAATTGTTATGCCGTACTAATGAACTTTTGCGAAAGTTTTAAAATACATACTATTAAATGAACTTTTTCTATTATTTTCAGTATTCTGTGAGTATCTGATTCCTTTATCTAAGGTGAAAGATAGTATTCAGAATATGAGATGCGAGCTTGTGTATGGCCAAGTACAACCTATCTACCAGGAATTTTGCGTGTAAATCAATTTTTCACGAGCACATATCTTACATCTTTAAATTGTCACTTGGTCGTATTTTAGGAAGGGTTGTTGTACAGGGCGAGTCACTCGTCAAACCCCATTTTCCCTAAACACAGATCAGTTATGAAGAGTGAAATGCTCGATACCGGCTATACTACGTACAATTTCCCATATAATAACATTTGCTTTTCATCCCATGCTCCAGGGGCTGCACTAGGGTCAGAGGGATTGTTACACGTGTGTCTGATTCTGACGCTGTTTGCATCTTGCTGTATTGGCCGTGTTGTATCAAGTCTACCTGATACTGAATTTCCGGTACTTAGTGGAGTCCCTTCAACAGTGGAATAAGCTGCGGCCCTCTCCCTAGTAGCCTATCACGCCAACCCCAGTAAATGCAAATACATGTCTTGAATGTTAAAGGCCATGTTACCGTAGAATTCAGAGCCGTTAGGTTAATTAATTAAAAAATTGGATATCCATTCAGAATCTAACACTTGTTTTAAAGAAGGGCATTTGAGTGGTGCTGTGGACCTGACATTTCCACATGTAAATAGCGTGCTGAAAATTTCCAGCCAAGACATAACTCGCAGCAATGGTTTCAAGTTGGAAAAATTCAGATTCAGGAAGGATATAGGAAAGCACTGGTTTGGTAATAGAGTTGTGGATGAGTGGAACAAACTCCCGAGTACAGTTATTGAGGCTAAAACGTTGTGTAGTTTTAAAAATACGTTAGATAAATACATGAGTGAGTGTGGGTGGGTGTGAGTTGGACCTGACTAGCTTGTGCTGCTGGGTCTGATACAGTGCTCCATCCTTGAGTGGGGATGACCAGACTGGGTGGGTCATTGGTCTAATCCGGGGGGGGGGACATGGACCAGCTCCGCATGGGTCAGTAGGCCTGTTGCAGTGTTCCTTCTTTCTTATGTTATGTTCTTATGTCCCAATCAAAGGATACTTCACTATGACATCCCGGCTGCAGCCGATGTAAAACTGCATGACTGTCTGTTGTCATACAGCATACTGAGTCCACTTGCTGGTTGTATTGCGCACAGCAAGTACAGGTACCAATTATTCGATAGCCAGTTGAATCCTGCCTATACTGATTTAAGAATTCCCCCATCCAAAGCATTTCGACGCACTTCGCCCCTCAAGGGAGGTTCCTTGACGCTGGTGAGGGGCTCTTGATCTAGGGAATTGGATCTGTGCTCCAGTTCCCTGAATTGAGCCTGAATACCTTCCATCCCTCCCCCCCCACATGCGTTGTATAATCCTAAGGGTTTAGCGCTCCCATATGATTATAATAATTATAATAATCGACGCACTTCGAGTAAATGTCAGTACATAGTCAGGATCTTGCAAGAAACTGTACTGGAAGTGAATTACCTGGTTTAATATATTTGTAGATTTGAGATTTTTTAATAATATTTTTTTTAATATGTATTTATTGGACGTATATGGAATTTATGTGTTTATTAGAAGCATTCTTTATGACAGTGTTTTGTATCAGGAGATTTTTGTGCACCGTGTGATGTAGGGTATATAGTGTATAAGTTATTTATCTAGTTCATAAGGACCTAGGATTGTACATAGTCTAACCACCACCACCACCACCACCTCTACCACTACCAACCACCACCACCTCTACCACTACCAACCACCACCACCTCTACCACTACCAACCACCACCACCACCACCACCACCTTTACCACTACCAACCACCATCACCACCTCTACCACTACCAACCACCACCACCACCACCTCTATCATTACCAACCACCATCACCACCTCTACCACTACCAACCACCACCGCCACCTCTATCATTACCAACCACCATCACCACCTCTACCACTACCAACCACCACCACCACCACCACCACCACCACCACCTCTACCACTACCAACCACCACCGCCACCTCTATCATTACCAACCACCACCACCACCTCTACCACTACCAACCACCACCATTACCACCACCACCTCTACCACTATGAACTACCACCTCTACCACTACCAACCACCACCACCACCCCTACCACCATCACTACCACCTCTACCACTATGAACTACCACCTCTACCACTACCAACCACCACCACCACCACCACCTCTACCACTACCAACCACCACCATCACCACCACCACCTCTACCACTATGAACTACCACCTCTACCACTACCAACCACCACCACCATCACTACCACCTCTACCACTACCAACCACCACCACCACCAGCACCACCTCTACCACTACCAACCACCACCACCACCTCTATCATTACCAACCACCACCACCACCACCTCTACCACTACCAACCACCACCACCACCTCTACCACTACCAACCACCACCACCTCTACCACTACCAACCACCACCACCTCTACCACTACGAACCACCACCACCACCACTACCACCTCAGGTACTTACCTTGTGATCCCTGAGCCACAGGTGACATGAGCAAGAAGTTAGCAAGAGCTGCTCCTGTACCATGACCGAAGATGGTAACACTGTCGGGGTCGCCGCCGAAGTTAGCGATATTTTCCTTCACCCAGTGAAGACCCGCAATCTGGTCCAGCAGTCCGAAGTTGCTAACGTGCCGCTCTCTCAGCGCTGGCCGCAGGAAACCTGAGGAGGAGGAGGAGGAGGCTTGTGCCATTTTTTATACACTGGTGTTGAATCTTTAGACTAGGAGCTGTCACACTATCACCCCCGAGGAAGCCCTTGAGAAATGACTGACGCCCCAGGTATTGGGGTGTTAGTATTGCCGCTCAAAATAGTTCACTATTACAAGGTACTATTTTAGGTATTCTAACCCAAACCATACCATGGGTGGGGATAGAACCGTGATCAGAGTGTCTCAGAACTCCAGATCGCGGGTTCTATCCCCACCCGTGTTATGGTTTGTTTGCAATCGTGTCATTACGATTTCGTGAGTCAGTTATTCTAACCTTTTCCCTCAAGGATACCAACCACAACAGTCAATTAAAACCCGGAGTAATGTATGTCAGCATAGTGTAACCTTCCCGATGTGACTATATAACTTGCATACATCCTGTAATTGTTAATAAAAAGTGTATTATAAGTTAGCATCACACACTAAACTCAGTCCTGATAAAATATTTTTTCCCTAAAACAATATAAATAATAGCATTTTCTACAATTTTCGTGTTTCTTATGTTAATACCAATGTTAAGTCAACTGTGAACAGCCGGTGTGCGTGTGGTGGTTCACTTTCCACACCACAGCTCTTGTCCCCACACTCTTCTTTCTGTGCCCAGTTGTACAACTCATCTGATAAGTTTTCAATAATGACCTAAAATGCAAGTTTTTAATTGAAATAATTATCCAGTGATAACAAGTTATAGACTGCAATTTTATTTAGTCATTGGATTTCATTAAACCGACATAAGACTGTAAATTGCTATCTGTTAATTAAAAATGTAATTATAATATTGTAGTGACTTCATTCACGTTTTGGTTTGGCATTTATTTTACTCATACCACATTAAGAAAGACAACAGACCTTAAACACCATGCGAGAGCTTCCTCCCAACAAAATGTGTTTACATTAATACGCTAGGTTTGCATCCTAGCCTTTTTACGTTTGATTCCCTAGGAAATTTGTCGCTACTAAAGTACTGTGGTGATGATGGACATCAGGCGTACAGAAAGGAAAAACAGAGCTAACACGTAACAGATATATAAATTGGTGAGGAGATTATGGCTGCTGGAGATGTCTTATTTGATATCCCTTGTTCTTCAACTTCTAATTCAGATACTCTGATGAGTACAAATAGGAAGCACGTCAGTCGCGTGCGTAGCAAATGGAGGATCAAACCTCCACTACGTCTAGCGCTAAATGACCCACATGGGTTTAGAGTTTCACATGAATTTAAAATACATATATGCATCTAATTCAGGTTGACATTAAAGGTGCAGCCTGAGGAAAGGTGAAGTAATTCATTCTCCTCCAAAACTTTTGTCACATAGTGAAGAAGGTGCTAGAAACAGAGACTTCCCTTTTAATAAATAGTTTAGTCGCTATCAATATGTTCTTGCGATGATAGGCATCAGCAACCAGAGGAAATGTTCCATTATCTTCCTTGGGTTGGAGGTTTGGCACTGCAGCTGGTCAGGGCAGAGTAGCTCCTAGTGGAGGAGGAGGAGGAGGAGGAGGCCTTTGCTCAAGAACAGAGAAGAAATCAGATTTGAGAGAGGAATGGCAAATAATAATGATATAGATGTTAATGCAAATGTCCTGTAAGATGGGTTTAATATCAGGAGAGCAGCAACAATAGTGCCGAAGGTAGCTGCGCTGAGTACTTAAGCAACATTGGGCGACAGTGTTGAACATTCAAGTGTGCAGAAAAGGTCTGGAGAGACTATCCACCATGTCTTCTCAGGAGTATCGGGACTAAGACTTAGAAGCAGATTATCATGATTCCAACTCGTCGGCTTTTGCCATTGTCTACCAGGACTACGACATGTAAGAGCTGCAGTCCTGAAAACCTATGTGTTGATACCTGTCAAGCACCGAAAAAATGTGTGCAACCTTCGTTAAAAGTTCGAAGAAACTTACCATGGGTTTGCCAACAGTAAAGAGACCTCTTTTACACAATAGTGTCGTGCTGCGGAGGCTGTCCAGGATTGCGACACATTAGTGCAATCTGTCCTACTTTAGAACTGTTTCTAACACTTCAGAAAATGCCCAGGAATATTTAGAAAATAAATAAATTGTAGAAGCAGGTGGAATAACGGATCTTTACGAGGTACATTACACACACATGAATGCCGACCTCCGGCTCAGCCTTCGAGTATGCAAGCAAAACCTAGAAAAGACTTACATAATAAAAATTATGTGTCTAAGGGGGCTTGTGTGCTTTAGCCAGCACAAGTTATTGATTTACCTGTAATCAGGTAACCTGTGACTGGCCAGAGCGTCCACAATACTGGCCTTGGTATATGACCTTTACGGATTCAGCGTCCTTCGCGAATGTCGTAGTAGTATAAGTCCAAATATCAGGTTCAGAACTTGATAAAATGCTTAGATTGGAAGATACCATTTCACGTTCAGCCGCAGTGTTGCCAAATGCAAAATCAACAGAGTGGGCACTAGCAGGTGCAGCCTCGATCTCGTACGGCCTGTGTCAATACTAATGAGGCGACGGAAGAGACTCTCCAGCTGGAAGCAGTCATAGCAGACAGGAAAACAATAAAAAGTAACTTAACAAATTGGTAATAAGAGACTGTATACACAGACTCAACCAGCCAAGTAATTAAAGCTACAATTCATTTGTTTTACAGTACTAGGGTAGCTGTGAATAAGTCACTACCTGGTGTTATGAGTTTCTGGGATTGCACCTCGGTGAGGTCCTCAGCAGCACGTGTAACATTTCCTGTGTATACTCCGGTTAATATCTTGTTCGAAGCCTACGGTGGGGCTATATATAACATTCATAAGCACAGCCTGTTTCTTGAGAGCATATTTTTCTCTGGCTATTTGTGTTTCCGAATTCCGTCCTCTGTTGAACCTCAGATGATATCTGTCAGTGTTCTCGAGCTTTCTGTTAATACAGTCACAGAGAAGTGGCAGGATAATACACTTGTGCTTCTTCACACAGTCCGTCTTGATAGTAGATATAGTCAGTATGAATTCAAGTATTTTATAAAGCGTACTTCAATATACTTTTGAGGAAGGATTCACCACGCAGTATGGAGAAGCACCGAACGTGGAAAACTATACATGTGTTGGTGTGTATGAGAAATAGAGTGATAGAAGTGGCACACAACAATCCCATGGGTGGGCGTCAAGGTGTAAAGTAAACTTCGGTGAACGTGACAAGAATTTTTTTCCCCATCTTTGCATGACGATAGAAGTTTCCATTCATGTTTGAACGTGTGCTGCCTGTCGTATTATATGACAACCTGGGCACTCTAACACCAGCCTCATTCTTCCCATTTCCAGAAATTGGCAAATGTTTCTCCAAATTTATTTTAGATTGTGCTGGTTCTTTGCCTCGGGATCGTACGGTTAATTAATATCTCTTATAATTATGCGTAGCTCTACTCATTAACCATAAGTACCACCATTGCGACGCATCACTGCACGGTCTGGTGACACTTTTTATCACACAAGAAGGATATCTTAAGGAAATGGAATTAGACCAGAGGTGGTACTAAACATCTGAGATCTTTATGTTCTTCCCCATTTAAAAAAAACAGTAATGTTTCTTCAGCGTACCATCCTGAATTTCAAGGTGCACTTAAAAGACTTCACTAGAAGCTGAGTAACATGTTCCATGCGACTATTCCTCCAGAGGACCTTTATCACTTCTCGGGGAAGACTGGATTGGCATTATAATTACTATGGGTCTTTCATACGATATTCATAAAATTTGAGATAGTTTCTTCATGCATGAGATCTGGCATGAGACCCTGAGAGTAGCATGAAGGACCACTATGACATGACAGCTATGACAAGTTCTTGTTTGGAACGCCACATTTTCTTGGTTCAACATCCAGTGTCTGGTAAAACTCTGTAGACAAGAGTCACAGGACCCGCTACTATAAAGGTTAAATTAAGTGATCTAAATAATGAAGTACTCGCAAACGACTGTCGAAATGTTTATACCACATTAGCCACATAAAGACATGTAATACACCATTGAGGAAAAATTATCAACAATGTTTATAAATGACCATAATTTTTAAAGGGGTGGACCGGTAAGCCAGCGGAAGGCCTCGGTCAGATGACCAAAAGCTCCAAAGGCGGGTCATCATCTGACTAAGACCCGCGTCAGGAAACATTTGTCCTGTTTCCTGACGAACCTTACCTAACCTAACCTAACCATTGAGGATATAATTGATACATCCCGTTGTGTGGATGTTTGCCTCAACAAAACTCAGATATTTTTGTAACCTAGATCAGCGTTTGTCTGGTCCCACAAAAATATAAACAGCTCCTAGGTTAATAATATATCAGATCATTTCAACTCATTCTTGGGGATGTTCTTCGGATTTTCACGATATACAAGCTCATAATACTTTTCCTGTCAAGCAGCAGCCACACTGTCTTACCTCAATTTAAATAGTTTTATTACAGGATGCTAGAGAACGAAAAGTCTGCTGGCATCTCCCTGTATCCTCGTTTGTAAGTCACACGATATAAAATGTAAGTGCACAGGTTGACCAAATTTTTCTCATCCTTAAACTCTGCTGACAAGTCCAGAGTGTAACTTCATTTGGAATAAGCAATGCCAGAGAGTTTTAAAGGATTTAAGAGATTGTTTTCCTCGGATTCTTTACTTCAGAATCTCGAGTTTAGACGCACATTTCGTTGTGCAGTCGATGTTAGTAATACATAGATAACCTGCACATAAAAGAGAGAGGCTTATGACAACGTTTCGGTCCGACTTGGTCCAATTACAAGTCACTGTAAATGGTTCAAGTCGTACCAGAACGTCGTCATAAGTTTAATTCTCCTATGTCCGGGTTATTTATGTATTGTTCCAGTGACGGTATTGTGCCTTTTTCTTCCTGTTGTTAATGAGGTGGGAATCTAAGTTGCTCTTCAAAAATCAGGATAGGACATTTTACATCCTGTGTGTCTATTATAAGTCAACTTC